TACGGTGACGATACATAGAAGTTATCCTTTCTGCAAAAAGATAAATTTATATACAAAATCTATATATCTATATAAATATATTTATACAAAACTTTAGAAATTATTAAAATATTGGTAAAGATCGTTTTAAAGGTAATATTAATGTTTAAAAATTTATTTATATATATGTATAACTTACACAATTTCCTATTTCTTTTAAAGAACATACATTTTTATTTGCAGTCTATAAGGTAGCAAAGCAATGTTGTTAAATGTTTAGGGTTCACACCTATAATGTAAAGTAAAGGTAAAAGTAAAGGTGAGAGAAATTTTAAAACTAATAGAAGTATAGGTGTTAGCAAGCCAAGTAGACTTATCTGCAACATTCAAAAAAATATCGTATACATAAACATAATAATATTAAATAGTTTCCATTTAATAATTCTGCAGGTATATGTATTTTATCATAAGCATGATAGACAATTTCATTTATTTAATAACTGTCGCAATGTTTAGTTCAAAACATTAATATTTATATAAATAATAAAAACAATTTTAAAATTACTGAAATTTGTTTTAAACTTTTAAGATTTATTGATTTCAATTATCAAATTCATGATAAAGAAATACAGGTTTTAAGTATAATTAATTCAAAGAAAGTAGATAAATTTTGGTTAGATAAATCATGAATTAATTATTCTGAATATAATTTTATAGAGTTAACTAGTCATATAATTAAACGTTTTTGGTCATACATATTTTTCAACTTTTTTAAGAATAGATACTTTTTGCAATCTTACAATAAATTTAATTTACTTTTTGTATTTAATTGCTTTTTACTCTTATATTTAACTCTTACCCATATAGGATGGATCATCGCAGTAGCTCCATGAGCTTCATCTTGATTTGTGTCAGAACCCTAATTAAAAAGAAGATAAAAAACTGAATTAAGAGAAATTATTACACAATTTATATATAACTGACAATTACACGCACAAAATTAATCGAAGGTTTTAGATAGTAAATTCAAACCCAGAAAATACCAAGTAACATGTAACGAACCTGCTTTAATTTCCCATTTAACAATATAACTATAATATAACACATGCATTATATGTTACTTGATATTTTCTGAAAATAAATAAGTCTGCTCTAGTATTATTGCAACGTAGATTAAATTTATTTATTATCCCAAACAATACATTTCATCTGAAGGATGTCCTGAAAACGTTTTCAGGGTATAGGAGACGCCCATTACACATTTTTAGGACATCCTTTTAATGTATGTCCTGTATTGGATATTCTACTAAAATATTCATCTTTTTTATATTTCTTTTAAACGCTTAATTTTATTTATGAACGTCTTTGTATTTTTAATAACATTATTTTCCTCTGACAAGTTGATAGGTTCAATGCATGAGACCAATTTTTGTAATAAAACATTTTTAAAGCTATTATGATGTATTAATGTATCATACACTATTAGAATACGTATCAAAATATATTCTTACACGTCCAAAAACAGTTCCAAGGATGGCCAGAAGTAGAAATGCGCGCAATGCCTGCATGATTACAGTATGCAATACGAATTATGCTCAGAATCTGAAAATACTAAGCTTCTTCGAAGTACGAAGGTTTTCCTTCACTTTCTAGGAATAATTTTTCTAAGAACAATTGGCAGGTGCACTACTTTGACGTGTGAAAAATTTCCTTATAAAGGAAAATTTTATCTTATCAGTCTTTGAAAATCGTGTCAAAATTATAGTTTAAAATTGCTATTGCACAATTTTAACAACACAATTTTATTTTTGTTATCGCATATGAACATTGCGTATATCGTCATTCATCGCACATATATGTTATTGAAAAGTTTTATGATTTGGTTTTTACAGCTTTTTACTAAAAACTCTTCTTATTAAAAAGTTATAGAAGTCAAATTATAAAATTTATATATATATAAAGTATGATATTTGATTATGGTTCATATTTACCATATTTACTTCTTTTTTACTTGTGACATTATTGTGGTATCTTTTCACTAAGATCAGTATAGTTATTTTATCACTAAGATTAGTATTAGGATATAGTTATTTTTTCACTAAGATTAGTATAATTATTTTATCAGTATATTGTTTTATCAATTATATGGCCGCCTTCAACATTTCCACTTACTAAACATGACAAATTCGAAGGACGCCGCAAATCTATTGATAAATCTGAGAATTTTAAACTTAAATTACAAGTAATTGATGTCTAAAATTCACATATTTTTCGGTAGATTCGCGGCGTTCTTCAGATTTGTCATGTTTTTTAGGGTGTCCTTTTTTTTTAAATTTCTTGTCTAACATTACAATACCCAACCCGCCACTTTCGCCAAGCAATATTTCAATAAAACCATCATCTCCACCGAGCGACAATTTAGGCTGGAAATTTCATATTCATGAATGTGTACATGACGATATGAATTATTTTATTTGTACATTTACGCACGATCCTTCTTATGTTTGTTGCATAATATTAAACTGCTGTGGTAATAATTGGTACGAACATAGATAAGGTATGAGCCACGTTTGGACAATTTCTGCAATTTCAACGCAGCATATGCTATATTGCAACATATGCTTTTTCTAGAAATTGCACGGCAATACTATTTTGCAAGCTATAAAATCACATTATATTTCAAAACTTTTTGATAGCGCAAACGTTATCGCTGATCGTTTGCATATAAATATACACAATAACGTCTCTAATGTCACGATAACTGTACTATCTAGCTTGCACACCTCTGCAAAATGGTGTGTGAATTATTTGCACGTGCAGTGTCACCGAGTTGTATATTCCTGCTATCTTAGCATGAAAATTATTTCATGACAGGCGAATGTAACAGGCTAAAATGAGAAAAAGAAGAGTGATATAATTTATTTGTTTTAAAACTATTGCCAGCGATATGCATATTCACATATTTTTCTTAATTAGAGATATATTATAGTATAAAAATAATTTATTCTAGTTTACTATATTACGTGTGCGCGTATGCACGGTATAAAAAATATTTAAACGTTCACGTTGCATATTCATGTTATATCCACGCTATATTATATTCAACATTTTATTTTTGTTGTTTTATAATTCTGTCATTATTGTCTCGAATATTTTTTTAAAATTAACAATGTTCTAAATAATTACGCAATTAAAGTAAATTTATTAAGTATGAAAATTGATTTTTCGCATTACACAGTTGTATTGTTGTACATATACATGTATGTATACAGGGTATTTCACCTCTACCGCATTTCTTTTTAAGAACGTGTTCCTGAGATAATTTTCAGTCGAAAATCCTAATACAAAAATGTCGAGGCTATAATACTTTTCAATTTATAAACGATTTTAAGTTAACCAATATTAGCGGCTTAAATTTGCACGCTCAGGCACGACACATACATAGTTACGAAGTTAGTTTCGTGTATTGATATTTAAAAAAGAGGCCATCGGACGTGCCGTGCCTGAGTGCGTGATTTTCAGCTGCTAATATTAGTTAATTTAAATCGTTTATAATTTGAAAAGAGTTATAGCCTCGACTTTTTTGTATTAGGATTTTCGACTCAAAATTGTCTCAGAAACATGTTCTTAAAAGAAAATGCGTAGAGGTGGAACACCCTGTATAATATAATTTACATTGCGTACTTTACATGTAATATTTCTTATATTCGCTGTATAATATTAAACTATGTTAGTATATTCGGTACGTACATAGATGAGAAATGATTATAGGTTCGTTAAATTTCAGTAATTTAGTAGAAATTATTGCAACATTCGCTCACCGTCAATTTTTGCAAAATACGGTTTTGAAACTATGACTAAGGTCACACAGTTTATTTTGCAATTTCCTGATAGCGCAAACGATATCGCTGGTTATTTGCATACCTAAATAATAATACTTAAATGCAATGATAACACTGTTCTTTTCGACAAAAAAAAATTCACCCGTGCAAAATAATATGCGAATCGGTTAGTGCAGTGCTATTGTAAATTGTATTTTTATTTTCTTATAGATTACTTTAAGACAGATTAAATGGCCCAAAAATATAACGAAAAAGATACGACTAACAATAAGAAAATTAATTTATTCTGAGGCTATTACATGCGATTTATATTTTTCTCGAGTAAAGATACTGATATATAAAAATAAAAATAGTTTTAACTTATTACGTTTTAATTAAGTAGTGAAGTATATTATTTGTCACTGTATTAAAAGTTTCTCCTTTATGTACGGATCGTCCGGGCATAGGCAACCTCTTCTGCATATATCCGTATAGATATACGGAATCTAAAATTTTAACTCCAGTTCCAAACGGTCTATTAGAAGATGTTTTCTTGGCAGAGATACTCTCGGTTTACCATTGCATTTTGTATTGCACATTTGTATACGTGTCTTTGTACGACGTATATGAAGGTATAATATAGATGCACATTTCGTTTACGTATATTAGAATTAGCGTTTTATTTTTACCGTTTCTTGGTTTTGCCATTTTTGCTCAGACATCTATTTATAATTAACATACTTAATAATTATGCAACATCAGATTAATAAAGAGAATTACTCAATAAATCGAGAAAGATGCAAAATCAGAAGACTTTTCAGAGATCCGCACGAACATCTAGTTTACTTAAGCGCGGTGTACAGACTGGTCTTTATTGTTGAGAGAGGAGTGGACTCTAATTAAATATTATTACTGTCTTTTTTCGTATACGTTTTCTGTAATGATTGCATTTTATTTTTATTTTTAATTATCTCTTTAAATAAAATAACGCGCTTGTGGCCAAAAGCGAGCGTTTTATGATTATATTTGTGGCAATATACAAACACTGAACAATAAATCCGAAATATTTTTTCCATTCTTGGTGGCGCGTTGAAATATTTTTGGAGCGCGTGTATCGTGATATTTTCGTGTACTCTATATATTAGGTACACAAAGGAATAATATACGTATCCGAATATTCCGAAATAAAACGCAGAAATAATTAATAAATTTTTAAGTATAAAACTTTATTAGTACAGCGACTTTTCTTGCAAATGATTCAGGTAAAGAAATACTATGGTATTCACGGGATCGCCGGTCGATATAATCTAATCACGTACAGAGAACCACGAGGTGGCATAATATGTGTACAGCATTTGTAAGTAGACAGAACAAACATCTTCCGTCAAAAGGAGCTGAATATGCGACAAATGGATTTGCTAAATATATTCGAAGGACCTCCTAGTCTTCCATCTTCCGTCTGTGTATATTGCACGATGACGATTATTATGCAATCGTCTATTATATGTATATAGTATTTTAAGTGGATTTATGAGCAGTAACGTGTGCCACGGTGAGGTCTCAGCCGACGTTGTTTTTCAGCAGTTGGTTAACAGCGGACAACGTAGAAATCGGGATCTGAAAATGAAGTTCGACTCATTAAAAGCTACATAACTCACACAGATCGCAACGCTCGTAATGAACAAGATATTAATGGCAGAAGCGGAAACGTCGACTTACGTTGAAAATATCATCGAACAAGGATCCGCCGGCATAAGTTTTGCCTGCGGCAACCGTGCCGCCGCCGTCCCCCACCGCGTTGACAAAGAGTCCGCCGACTATTTCCGAAGGAGAGCCTTGAGTGTCAGCCGTTGCTGCGGGAGCAACGTAAACCGCTTTCCTAGGGCCGGTCCAGAATCTCTTTCGAAAGTACCAGCGTGGATGCACGGGCTTTGGAATGACTACATTCGGATTCGCTGGAAGAGAAAGGATTGCTCACACGGAATGCCGTTCGAGCAAGTGCAGAGAAGCAGTAAGTAGCAATGATTGCTCACCAACTGTTGTAACTGTTGTGTCGACGGTGGCATGACCTGCGCCTTGCGCGGTTGCAGCAGCTGCAGGCACCGGGACCACCGCGACGGTTTTCACGGCTGGCGCTACCCCAACAGAGATCGATTTGACCAGGCCCACTTCCGCTGCGGGTGCCATGACTGCGTATGGCACTTCACGTCGTGTCTGTCACAAGAAAAATTTCTCTGGTAGCTTTTTTTTTTAATCCGACGATCAAAATGTTTGATCAATTCTCACCTCCTTGTTTCGCGATTCGGTCTTCTCACTTGCAGGCGCATCAGCTCGTGCCGTCGCGTCAGCTTGTACCACCTTCTGCGTTCGATAGATTCATTTAAAGACGACATCCCACGAATATATTTTTGCAAAGAGATGATCGACGGGTTAAAGCATACATATATATCCCAAGAGTCCAATATAAACTTAAAATACGATTTATTAAGGCGATAGCTATACTAAATTACTACTATTCTACGGAAGCTGCGTTGGAAGACTGTCAATGCTCTTCCACGCGTGTCTCAACTTCTCGTTTAGGTATCGTATTTGAGACCTAGGAAAAAATCAGAATGCTGTATCCCATATCGCTCGCAGAGTAAAAGTTAGAGTATACTTATAAGCTATGAAATCGCAATTGAAACCTCTTTCTCCTTCTCCTTCCTCGAACGTATGATCTGTATATTCGTGCGACCCTTCGGCGCTTTTGTAGCTGCATCCGCACTCGCCGGCGTGGTAGACGCATCCGCACCAGCCGCAGGTGGATTTAAGCCAGCTTCGCTAGGCACGCTGCCACTTATGATCCCGTCAAATCCGGGTTGGTCGAGACCACCGCCGAGAAACACGCCCGGTCCTGGACCGCCGCCCGGAGTTGCCCCTGCATACAAGCCACCTGCGATCGGGTTCAGCGACCGTCTACTGCCATCCAGTCTTCCGCCGAGGCCAGCCGCCGCTTCTGGTGCACCACGGCCGAGTCCAGCGCGGGCATACAAACCGCCGCCTGAAGTGATTTTTGCATGCGTTTGTGCGTGACCTTATTTGATGTTTGCAGTTTGCTTAATACACGTTCATTTTTTTAAATGAAAATACTGAGACCGTGTTGGTTTGCAGCAGCTGCATGCTTTGTCATCTTTTTGCTAAAGTTTCAGACTTAAATTCGCGCAATTTTTTAGCACAAAATTTTTGACATCAATATTATACTATATGTACATCTCTTTCATTCTCAATGCTCACCAAGAGGTGCGCCGTCTCCTCCTAATTGACCGCCCAATCCCGCGCCAGCGTGTGCACCCCACGGAGTTCCCGCGCTCGCATAAAGTCCACCACCCGTGCCACGTAGAAGACCGCCGAGTCCAGCTTCAGCATGATACCCGCCAAAGTTCAGCCGGATTCCTCCGTCAGTAAATTGAAGAAATGGAGGCTGCACAAGTAAAAATGGAAAATGAAATTCGCTTGTCGAAACTGAAAACTTGCATTAGCGAGAGGGATCACGTTACATAAATAGAGTTACCTCAATCTTATCTCTAATCTTACATATTCCATATCTAGATTGTAGCTGACAATGCAATTGTAATTATATACGTTTCCGTCTCTTCTCTACCGCAAGAGCCGGTTCTTTTCCAAGAGTTTACACGCGAGTTTCATCAATTGCAGACGTTCCGGATAATTTCGAGACTAGTGACCGTGACCGTTGCGCGATACAACAATTTCCATCGATTACTTTTTTTTTCCTTTCACGCTGGATACTGCGGACCCGAAAAGAACGGTAGCGAAATTCCAAACGTGAAATTTGATGCGTCGACATTGAGATTCGTGTGGCGTGGCTTTAACCGAATTTACCGTTCACCTCCGACGTTGTAAAGATTATTTCAAGGTGGGCGAGATATGTAAAAAAAAAAATGCAATGGCGCGATAACAAATGGATACCGGGCTACTTTCAGGTAGCGTGGAATGTTTTTAATGGCTGGGGGGGATATTATCGGACAGAAAAAATTTCCACAGCATGCTGAAGATTTACGATAAGCGTTATAATTATGCTTGAACTCTGCACTTCCTTTACTTTTATTATTATGTTTGTTAGCTATGTGAACTTATATATTACACAAAGCTTTGAGCTGTCTCGGTTTTTGCCGTTCACCTTTATGAATAAAGAACGCGACTCTGTTGCTCATATTCTGCGGTTTCTTACCAGCGCAGCTCTAATCGCCTTGACGTAATTTTTTTTCGCCTTAACTAATTACGATTGTGTTATAGCGTTTTGGAACATTTCTGAATAACAATCGACTAATTAAACAACATAACAATTAAGTTTTATGCAACCTTCTATATCGTTTCCGCGATCCTTTCTCTCTCTACAAGAGAGTCTGATTATCTAACCGGCTTAAGATGTAACTTTTCCTCTCGAAGCAACCGACTACATGGAATCAGTTCTTCTGGAGCAAGGCATCAATGCGTTTCTTTGTAAGTCTAATAGTTTATGCTGACGTCAGAGATACTACGGCTACGCAGAACTGCGCTCGCAATTATCGGCTCGTGATTAAGCAAATTCGATTGAATCAAGGATGTAATATTGATATGCGTCACGTCCAGAAGTTTCGCATAAACAACGCAAACTTATCATTACTTTGCACTAAATACACAAAAATATTTATGTTAATTGAAGATTGAGCTGCGCGTCATTGTTTGTCGTTTATTTCAGATGCGGATTTCATCTTGTCCATTAGTAGCTTATGCATATTTTACGTAATTGACTGGTTCGCATGCAGGGAATACATGCTCACATTCAGTTTTTCATTTCATCATCTGTGGCGTAGAAACGGCGTAATAATACCTTTCTCATTCCATTCTGCACGTTGCTCTAACATTTTCGTAACACGTATAGTTTTTTTCGTATAATTTCGTAATCAATTGTGAGCGCCAAGTCGCATTTTGATTTAGCTTCTTGCACTAGGTTTTATTTTCACAAAGTTTAATACTTTATACTTCGACAGAAAATAAACTTGATTTAGCGTTTTATATAAGATAAATAATACCCTATCTTAATATAAATCTAATATTCTAAATAAAGTTATATTTGTACTGACAATAAATCATTCTATAAATTGCTTTCTTTCCACATAATAGATAAGACTTAATAAGTCAACTTTCATGTATTGAAGAAAATTAAAACACTTTGTGAAAGATAACAACAAACAAAATAACAAAAATTTTTTTACTCACAGACTCATCCTTTTCCTTCTGAGGCATTCCATTGACTAAAGCTATAAAAATAAGTAGGCAGTTAGCCACCACACTGAACGACATCTTCGGGTTTACTGACGGAGGATTGAGACCGAGTAGGCAGGTAGGCAGTGATTTCTCAGTCTCACCGGAGGATATTTCTTAGTCACCTGCCGTTGGAAGGGATAAACTCAACGAGATCCGCGTATTCACCGTTCGGTGAACTGCGGATTCACATGTAGTGCAATGTGATACAGAGTCCAAATAATTTATCCTGTAAACGTTTATGATGACTAATATAACGCAAACATGTAAGATGAATAATTTAATGAATTTTTTTTCATACAAATCAATCAATGCAAATTTGAAGGAAAAAATTGTTGAAATAAAAATTATTGTGTGCATCTAGAAGATATTTTATATAAAAAGTAATTTTATTCTAGAATATTTTTTATCTTGAAACCTTCAAATGTCTACTTATCATTATCAGTATTATTCAAGAGTGTTCAATATTTAGAATGCAATTTGTTAAAGAAGAACGTCGTTTGTTTGCACGCTTCGTTTTTCGTACCTAAGAAAATATATCTTTATCTTTGTTTACGAACATGTGCCGAAAATTAGAATTGCTATTACGATGCAGAACTTAAGTTTCTAATCTATTAAATCGCATTAGAATGAACAATAAAAGCTGTTATTTATTTTTGACAGTTTTTTTATATATTATAACTTGATTTGCTGTAATTAATACTAATAGTACATGTATATATTAATAAAATAGCGGAAATAAAATAAAAACATTTTAATAAATCTAATATGAATCTTGATTGGATGGGAACGTTTGGTTGGAAAAATTATTTGTAATTAGCTTTTTATTTCAATCTGTGGTAAAAAATATTATAATGTTTTATCAAATATACACACAGTTTCTCTGTTTATTGGTAAAATATTTTGCAAAAATATTCGTTAAAATACAAATATCTTTATAATATTTGATAATGCGCATTGATTTTATGATGATATTTGTTCAATATTAATATTTGTTTGGATGATTTATATAAATAGCCTTTTATTGTTTTAATAATTTTGATATTAAATTTTTATATATGCATAATATAATTTATATAAAAGAAATATTTAAAAAATAAAGATGCTGCAATAAATTGCATTTAACGTCATTTTTATACACATTTTGTACATTATATTATTGTATAATAATTAATTCAAATAAACTAATAATAAAATATTTAAAAAAACTATAGTTTTATAAATATGAAATTTATATATGTTGCAGATATTTAAAAGAACAAAAACTAAAATAAATGTAAAAAAACTGCGCATATTTCCAACGACGTTCGTGGACACGTGTGACACACGAGTCTTGCATTACGATGCAGAAATAGAGTGTACTCGAAGGTCAAGGATTGATTTCACATGCTGCGTATATGTATATTCCACGTTAAGTCGTGCTTATACCAATTAGGATTTCTAATGAGACATTGTTCTCTTCGTGACAGTCAAATAAAATTAAATTTGAGATTGCGTTAGTGCCTGTACGCTGAATTCATTACGTTACGTGTAAGTGTCGTCCAAGTTCATTCGCGTTTATCAAAGGTTCTCGAAGAAATTCTTGCAATCGCTATTAATAGGAATCATGTATTAGCATTTTATTGCACTTGTTTTTTCGATGCGTTCATATGAAAATTGTCATCTTACTGTTAAGCAAGAGCTTTGTATATTACATATGAATCATTGATCATAATTATTTATAAATAATTAAGTCATTCAATGCACAATATATGTATATACTGGCAATCTCCTATCAATTAATCTCTATATTTTAATATTAAAAAATAAATAAAGATCTTTTATCAGTGAACACACTGAATATCATCGAAAAATTTATTTTTTTCTATAAAAAATTAGTTACAAGCACGTTTTAGAGTTTATTGATTTAGATAAAATAAAAAAGTGTAAAGATTCTAAAGTTGAAAATAAAAATTTATGGTTATAATGTACACATAAATCATAATGTTTCAAGCTTGAAAAGACAATTACTTATATTTGCACCATGTTACATTAGTAATTATATGTGTATATATATTACATATTATTTTAACTATATAAAATATTTTCTATATTAATTTAATAGATTTATAATAAAGTACGTCTTTTTAGAGTCTCTTACACTCAGGATAAGAATTAAAAAAAAATGAAATATGTAGTGTGATAAAATTAATTAACGAATACTTGAAACCAAGAATAAAGGTTACATCTCACGTTGTTTTGTTATCGCGTATTTACATCACTATTGCACAAATACTATTCTTCCGTTTCTCGGAGCGATTTTATTTTCCAATGGCGGGTCATCATATTTGCGTATCGGTTTATTTCTAATCTTTACGATCTTATTTTGCAAATTCACGTTGTCGCTTGGATACTTGGAGATTTTCTGTCTCTTCTCCTTAGGAGCGACTTTATTCTCGATTTTGATAGAAGTGCTAGAAGGTCGGGTTCCAGTAAAACTGCCAAATCCAGCGGTCAGACCGTGCCAGGAGAAAGATGTGTCTTCGTTAACATCTTCGTGGACCTCGTAGGTATGTTGCGGACGATGTCCACCTTTAACAACAATATACAAAGAATGATACATTTATATCTATTTATATAATGCTTTTAACATTTATATCTACACGGAAAAAGTTTTGCCGAGACGCTAGAACATCATAGCAATACTTAAAAAGTTTTGCTATTCTAGTTTGAGCGTCCTACGTAATTATTATGATTTAACAAAATTATTTAGTTGTATTCAGTTAAATTTTACTTCAGTAAAAAAATTCCGTTCTTTCTAAATAACTGTATACATTTATCCATTTATTCCATCTATATGGATGAGTAATAGAGATAAGAATATTTTAATCACACTATTTATTTTAAGGTACGGTCAAGATGATGCTACAAATACTTTGAAGCATTTGATTGATCAATCAGAACGAGAACTTTACAAATTGACCAAACAGAAAATGCTTCAAAGCATTTGTAGCATCATCTTGACCGTATTCTTATATACCTATATATATTATCTATATGCATAGGCAATATAGATAACAGTATCCTAATCACACACAATAGTTTCAAAGATAATGTATTTCCTTCCCTTAAGAAAATGAATTAGCGAGCATATAGTCACCATGAATTCCATGATGAATTCCATGACCGTGATGACCAATCTTACGGTTTCCGTGAAGCCCGTGGATGCCACCCAATCCGGAATGATGCCCGAAAAGTCCGCCAGCACGGTGTCCAACCAGGAGATCGCTCAACGCGTTTAATCCAAGCGGATCCTTGTATTGCCTGACAGGTCTCTTCAGTTGCTCCAGCCGCTGATTTTGTATTTCCTCTTTTCGCTTTCTTTTCTGCTCCTTTAGAGCCAAGATCCGTTCTCTTCTGTCTTGACGAGCTTGAATATTTTCCGGAATTCGTTGCCTCTGCTCTCTTGTAGTTTTTACAAGTGCGCCGACAGCTTCTAAAGTTGAGACAGGAATCTGTAAATAATTTTGTTGATTATAGAAAATAATTAAGCGCACTTTAAATATAAATACAAGCAATTTTACATAGACATGACCTTTAAAATACTGTCTATCGTCTGCATGTTCTCTGGCGAAATAATTTGGGCAGCGGAGGCGGTTTGTCTGAGCGCTGTGATCGGAATCTGCAAAGTAAAAACTCTCTTTCAAAGCAAACGTTTAATTTGATAAATATTCAAATAACAAATATTCTTCTTTTCTCCATTTTTAATTAAATTTATCAGAATGTACTTTTAACAAAGAGATTTTATTGTTTAATATTTCGTTATTTGTTTAATAATTGACTATTTAATTGATTAAATATTATTGAAATATTTATTGAATAAAGCCTTGCTATGATGCTTACATTAAAAATGTTGTCTATCAGCTGACCACTTTGCGCATCTTGACGTCGTACTCTGCTCTTCGAAATGGCCTGAAATACAATACATGATGATCAATAATGCTGCAGTAGAAGAAACTAATTTCGCTTCCTTATGCGACAACATGAAAACATACTTCGGATAAGTTATTCCTTGTATTTTTTGCTCGTAAAGTAACATGTGAAAACTGTGTAGCAGACGGCATAGAAATATCTTCAATGAAATATTATGTGTGACAAGTACGACCCACGCTTAACTTGCCATTCGAAATGTACACAGGTCCATCGTAGATCGCTACACGTACAAATACGGATCCATGTTTATCACAGCTTTCACTTTTTACAAATTAAAAATGTTGAATAATCTTCGTCAATTATTGGAAAGGTTAATTTACGCTACACGATCCTCCTCGATCAGTCCTTAAGAGTGAGATAATTTTACAATAATTTATTAAAAGAGAATATCCTTTTGCAGAGGTTTCTATGAGAGATAAATTTTAATGTTTCGAATTTTTTAAATAATTTTAAAAATAAACAAAATAAGCACTTGTATTAATAAAATCAGAAACAATAATTTTCGAAAAATAATATTGCTATTTTATTGAAGTACAATACTTTATACTTTGTTTCTCGTTCATGTCGGGGGACAAGACATTTTCGGATAACCGAATAGTTCGGATAATAATAGAACTTCACTTACACTGCATTTAGGTGGCTGACATATTAATGTTGCGTCAGTTTGTCTTTGTATTACATTTAATAACCGATAATCATACACTAGCTCCCTTAGTAATTTAAATAATAGAAACTGACGTATATTTTTATTACTTTCGATAAGAAGAGCTGACGTTCAAACAAATAACGTGGAGCTCTCTTATCATTCGAATAGTTCGGATAACAAGAGTTTAGCTAGTTTATATAGATATTTGAGCACAAATTTGTTCGTACAAATAAAATTCGAATAAATGGAATTCTGCTCCATTATTATATGGAAAATTAAATTTCTATTTGTAAAATTTAGATGCTAAAAGAGATATGTATTAAGCCTGTCACATCTGTAACCTTTTACACTGCGTGGCTTAAATTAAAGAAAAAACTTTGGCATTTAAATTTTATTTTCCTTTATTTATAGTATCTTTTATTAAAGCAACTTACGCCATACGTTTCGCCTAGTAGAAGAAGAAAGCTTAGAAATCCGCAGCACCAAAACATCCTTCCGACACTTCTCGAGCGTAGATCGCGTGCTTATGGCAGACTCCTGCGAGTTTCAAGACAGGTCGACACAGGTACGATTGGATCGTGGATCCGCTTCGTCGATCTATAAGGGCTGCTGCGAGATCCCACACGAATCGTCGACCAATCCGGCTTAAGGATCTGCAGATTCGCGCTGGTTTCCTCGGACGAAGAAGGTGCTTTCTACTTATCGCAATCGCGCCACACCAGTCGCAATCTTTCGTCCTCTTTCACCGGCCGATCATTCGAATAAATTATTCCGCTCCTTTTTCTTTATTTTATACTCACGAAACTTCAGCGTGGGTTAAAAGCCGAAAACGATTGTGTAAGATATCCCGGAGGTATCAGACGATAAAACGTTCATGATGTAATCGCTCGAGGCAAAGCTGGGGCCTAATTTCGGCACTATTCAACATCGTAATTTAATGAATAGATCACTTTGAAAAGTCGAGACAATAGCCGAGAATAGAGAGTCAAAAGTAACAGAAACTATGTCATTATCATTATTTTGGCACATTCTCAAAGAATTCATTTAATTTGAAGGACAATGTAATGTTAAGAAATATGTGTGCATCTTATCTGCGTATTACATCTAATAAATGAAATGTGCAATAAATTTTAATGAAGGGAAACGTAATTATTTTTGCGTAAATCTATTTCTTCTATTTGAAAATTGAGCTGTTGTATAAATATTCAATAAAATGTAGATATTATTAAAAATATAAATATTATTTTCAGAGGCTGATAAGAGTCTTTAAATTATAAAACCTCTTGTTATATGTATAAATGAATCACTATATTATATACAATTCGGAACTTTTTGACCTTGATGTTTATTATATCTATTTAATTCTTCTCGCGATGCTGTCTTCGTTTTAAAATGCGTTTGGGTTATCCTGAAGAAAACTACCTATTTGATTCCCGAGATCCTTTTGAAACTCCCTTACAGATATCTCTGATTGCTGAAAGATCAAGCAATTTATCAAGATTATAAAAAAGCAATTGTTAAGCAATAATTTAATAAGATATTATATTCAAAGAAAAAGTTGTATAAAGAAACAAATACAATGAAAAAAACTCACATTTAGGGCATCCTGCCATTCGATATTGAAGAGCCTCACTAATCCACGCAAATTTCTTCTAATTAAATTTTGCAGATTGGTTGACGTGAGTCTGAAAGGTGCCGCTGTGGTTGTCGTTGTTGTCGCGTTAACATCTGTCATGTCGGTGGACGTATTATTCTGATCAACCGACGGTGCGATTGTTCTCGCTTCGGCAACCATCAATGGATGACTATTGGCTGGTCGGCGTGTAGTCGGATCCGGTTCGATGTTTTGACTGACAAGATTACTAATTTGTTTAATCGCCGATCGCGTGTCGTTGAATGTCTGAAATGAAACGGAACATTAATCGGCTGGAGCGAAACTTCCACTTTCTCTCTTGTCTTAAAAAACTCGACGGAGAACAAAGTTTTCAATATTATCAATAAGAAAACATCGAATTAACTAACGTCTGCTGAAAAAAATTGATCGCTGTATTCGGGACGGTATTTCTATAATTCTGACAGATAAAATTATAACTATACCATGTAATTATAAGTAATTAATATGCATTATAGAATTTTTTATTATATACATTATATAATAAAAATTTATGTATATATGTATATATATATATATATATATAAAATATTGAATAAGCCTTTTTAAAATAATATACATATATATATACTTTTTAAAAAATTTAAATTGGTAATACATATTATCATTTTTATTTTAAAGCCTAGCTAGCTATATTTAAAAAGTATGTCAAAACGTATTATTATTCATACCTCGAAAGCAAGCCTCGCTAAGGTCCAGAAAAATCCTGGCCGATGCCTACGAACTTGCCTGACAACTCTTTTCGTCTCTTCAGGGATGTTCATTTCCGCGATAATTTCATCTTCAACCGAATTCTTCATCTCGACGTCATTCTCGTCAGTATCTTCAGACAATATTTTGTCTAACATGTTCATTTTCTTCACTACTTCCTCGTCAATTTCTCGCGTTTCCTCGCGCTCCAAAAGTTGCGCGGCATTTTCTTTTGTAGGAGTCCTTTGACTTTTAACAAATTGAGAATAATAATACGGTCTGTATACTTCTCCCAGCTGATATTCTGGCATGTATTTCGCTGCATTTTGCTTCACATTGTCTTCAGAATAGCGATCCTTAGAAAATATCCCAGGTTGCAATGAATTATGCTGAGAATGATAAACGTTGTACTGTGGTTTTGGGACATTAGACCGGAACTGTTCTTTCAAAGAAACTGGTTCTGGTATCGGTCGAAATTGGTGATGCACGGGATCGTTGACCTCGTAAGGGACCCAATCTGACCTATCTAATCTCATAGCTCCGCTATAAAATGGAATGATCAAGCAAAGGAGCAACCAATTGGCTGCAAAGGAATTGAGTGGTGACATATACATCTGCAAAAAAGAAAATATTTGTAAGATTAAGATTTTGTGTCAGAAAAGATTAATGGAATAAACAAATTATTAATAAAGTTATCAAGATATTTAAATTTATAGAGAAAAATATGAGAAAATTTATCAAAATATTTTCAAAAATAGAGAATAAGCTATATTATTTAATTATTTAATACATTAGTAAGCATTTTTCGAATGTAATATAACAAAAATAAGATATTACGTATATTACGTATAAAGAATGTCATAACTGACAGAGAGTTCGTCTAAAACTGCACTTCATGGGACCAAAGAAACGTCACGCAGTGAGAGTCGAACGATGACTGTGATGCACGAAAAAGCATCAGCAGCTATTACGTAAGTCGACTGTCATCATTTAGTGAAATAAGGAAAGTAAATTCGTCGAAGTAGAACCGCAACAGGAAAATTGCCAATTATAGTTTGAGGAACGAAACGCTTGTAAGCATTACGATCCGTTACTCACAAAATCAATTGTGTAACTTGCGATATTTTTGAAGAGTCAGTATCTCAGTATTTACAACTCGGTAGAAAAGAACTTAAAATTTTTTTATTTGTAAACAAGTATTTCGTTTAATTTTCTATAATTTATTAAATAGCTTATTAAATTAAAATAATTTGAATTTATTTAAGCAATGAATTTATATTTGTTCATTGACTTACATTGACGGCAATTAAATCCGATGGCTTTTAAATCCAGACACACGTTCTAAAACATTCCTTCTCTTTGAACTCATATACATTTCTTCAAAAAATTATTCAATCACTCAGCATGCTACCTTCTTCAATACATTATTCAATCACTCAATATACTATCTTCTTTAACACATTATTCAATCACTCAGCACGCTACTTTCTTCAACACTCATAAGCCAACTGTTCTAGACTGTATCCCGAAGCAATATTAATATCAAATCTTTACGCAAGAGAGTCTTGATTCCGAAACCTTTTCCGCCTATAGAGTCTATGCGTCACTCATGGTTTGCGGTAACAAAACGGCAGTTTCTATCCTTCACGCACGATTGTCCAGAAAATTGCTTCCCTTCGATCTAACACGACGAACGCATTATACGACTGTTGCTGGTTGATGGCCCACGCCGCTGATTGAGCTTGACTACCGGCCAATGCCGGCGATTCGTTCCCGGACATTCGAAGATTTCGACGATCCATTTCGACAGTACGTGACGCGAACGCGTAACGCGTGCACCGAATTAATGGTGCTTTGTGGTCGAACTTTATCGTGTGTGTGTTGCGAAACAATGAAATCCGATGAGTATCCGATATGTTCCAACGTCGTCGTTCGGACTCTCTGCAGCGTTTCACTTTACAGATAATCGACGTTCTGACAGCAAGAAAGTTGTTAAACGTATGAGATATTCGCGAAACATTACAGCTAGTTAATTGTTTGTAGACACCGAGTATCGCGATCCACTCGCATAAGAAATGCTGGAAAATTACTTGCAAATCTCGTAGTTATATAATGTTTAATATATCCATTAGTAACGACGTGATTATTGAATAATATCAGTCGAGAGTCCATGCGGTGACTGATTACGTCGCGGTAATTTCCAAAGCGATCGCGCTGAACTGCACATGCCTACGGCGTAAGACTTTCTACTTCCATGAAGTATAATATATCGCGCGAAGATTTCTATCGATTGCGAAAATGCAGGCGTACGTGAAACGATTTAAGTGGAGCACTTGTCGCACGCGGACGACAGTCTTACTGGGCGCAATCGAGTTTTAACGAACCACGCACTCTATTTTTAGATGCGACAAATTTCACCTTGTTTGCATTCTATGATCTTCTTCGTATGAAGGTAGAGAAACTAAGGAACACATGGTTTTTATCATCCGAGGAAAGTATCAAGATTTTCAACTTGATTAGAAATGTATGATGTTCCTACAAATCTACAATCTTAACTCTGACGTTCCCGATATTATAAATTGTAACATTAAAATTCATCAAACAAAAAATTTTTGTTAAAATAAAGTTTACCGGAAATTAACCGAAGAACGTAATCTTGTTTCTATCTTCGAAGTTTCGCTTGCAAAAAGCAGCTATAAATGTTACTTATGCATTGACACTTTTACTGGGGTAAAATTGATTGCAAATTTATTATAAAATTTGCAATTAAAATTAAAATCACGAGTATTGGAACACGTTTTTAACACTGATTCGTTATTTTCTTTATTATTATTACTTTTGATTTTTCATTTGACACATGTTTAAACCACAAAGTTGATAGATATGTCTTTTTTTTTATCACAGTCGTACGATATTAGGACACTAATTTTCACGACAAATGATTATTGGCCTCGGCATCCTGTCTGGAGATCAGCAACCGCGGTACTTAGCCGTCCTTGCCTTCGAAAACTTGCCTGAGGTTCAGGTCCACGTGGACTACAGTGTGCGAAACGACTTCCATCTTTCACTTTCACTCTTCGTAATCACATACGTAATCGAGATCGGTTCCGTTATATACACCAGTATGCGTTTTTCTTAACGGTGTGGGTTTAAGTAAAGATTGTAGCGTCGCATTATTGTCATAATGATAATATTTTTTAATAATTTCTTTTTACAAGTATTAATTATTAAAAATATTGAATAAATTGATTCCTTTTTTATTTAATATTTAACGTCAAATATCTCGACAAAAAGAAATATATTTGTTAAATTAGTTAAAATATTTAAGTTCTTTAATAAAATGCGCGAATAAAAAATAGCATTCATATTTTAACAATTTTATAGCCAGTTTCGTTGATACGTCATCAAATTTTCGTGATGCGCTCTGATTACTAGGTTCATTGTTAATTAACTCGCTACGAAAGATGTGCGTATAAAAGATACAAGTTTTTTCCGTACCAATTAATTTCTTGACTATCCAAATAAATTCAAATCATTATACAAAAAATTTAATAATAATGAATTTATTGTGAAATTTTTTTTTGCATAATAGAGAAAAGGTATTGCAAGAGTCGCAAAAATGTTCGACGTTACTTATATTTAACGATTGATAAAATATCCTACCGTGCAACGCCGTAAGAAAATAATAGTATTTTAATGCCAAATCTTTTCACTATGGATTTGTTCGGTTCGACTGAAATTTCGGTTTGAAGACGTATAAATGGAGTTTCACGTAGTTATGTACGTAACATACATCTCTTTTTGTACACGCTTGCTTTACGTAAGATGTCTGCACTTACCTGGTATATCTACGTATGTCAATAGTTATCTATCGCCTCGCGTGTCCGTGCATGTCTCTACTTATTTATTGTCTGTATTTGTACCGCACTTTTTATCTAAAGCGGAATAAGGCGAGACGAAGCTTATAGAGCTAAGTAATCATCTATTGTTAAATCATTTCTATTTTCTTACGTGTTTAAAAATTAAATAATTATTTGCGATATAAAAAAATTTCCCTGCGAGTCGTCCGTACTGTATCTTGAGTGTTGCTTAAAGTGCATAAACAATGAATTTTTAATTTTGATAGGTAAACAACGGCAAGTCGCTGACCGTAGCGGAAGAAAATAATCTCGTAAGATAAATAATCGCAGCTAATTATAACTAATGACAATGCGCTGACGAGATGTGTGAGGATGCCGTTATGCCGTTATGTATCTTGATAAATTGCTGCATTATAAGTCACAATCGCGCGTAAGCTGCACTTAGGTGTTAAAGACCTCTCTACAGAGACTCGGCCTTGACCGAACGCTCATTAGCTACGGTCTACAATTGTGTTTTATGGAAAGATTATAATTAGTGAACAACAAGGATTTTGAAATGTTTCATAAAATACACGATACGATAAGATTACACTTAAAAAGGCAAGTAGAAAAGAATTTTGATTCGTAATCTAAAATTAAAATTTAGCAATCCTGTCCAAATAATATATATATTCTTCAACAAGAAATTTTAATAATTTTAGAATTATAACTTTAATAAACATTTTAAATAAATTTAAACATAAATTATAAGAATAAAGAATTCATCCATTTTTTATCTATAAACTTTTTGACTTAATCTTTACTTTATCTCGAAAAAAATTTCTGTCTCATTGATTAAGTTTATAAAAACTTATATAAAAACTTATATAAGATATTCAGCAAAACTAATTTTACGTTGTATTATTACAATAATTATTCACTTCTATATATGGCGGTATAATTATTGTAGACAATACTTTGAGCAAATTATTCGATGATATCACTATTTGATCGAAAGTTATCACTAAAATCTTTGTTTAAAGATAAATGTAATTAAGTTCTAGAATATTTTAAAAGAAACTTACGTTTCTGTTTCTTAAGAGCAAAACCACATATAGATGCAAACCTCACGACGTCAGTCGTTAACTGATTGCTCATGCTTCCTATACCCATATCGCACAAATAGAAAATACAAAAAGAGCGTAATATGTAATCTATTTCGTACGCAAGCGCGGCACTTATATATTGCGTGACATGTATATTAGACAATTTGGTTTATCGATGGCTACCTTATACTCCTTATTCAATCTTGTCATTATTTTACAAATATGAAGCAATATATCCCGTTCGGAAATAGAAGGAAAAAAGAAAGAGAGGACATTTGTCGACATTCTAATAAATCATATACCTACCGTGTAGCTAATTCCGGTTGCACAATTTTTGATATAGAAATGGTCATTTTGCAACTCGGAAAATTTCTTAGAAAAGCGTAATTTGTACTGTGTTCAAATTGTGTCTTAAATTCCAATTTAAATGCAGTTTATAATTTGATCTTTGATGCAAGAAGTTACTCGTATATTTATGTGTAAATATAATTAAATATCTATCTTACCTTTCTATTGAGCAGTTATTATGTCTGTTAAGAGATTGTTACTTCTTCTGTGCTACTAATATTATATATCACACTGGTATATGCTTGTACATGCGTTCTCTCGCGTCATTTATCGCGTCGCTAAGCACAGATGAAGTGAAAACAAGTGCATCTTGTCGGACGGCAGAACCAGCACTAGTGAGATGGATTCTCTGCGTCTCTCGACATCTCTCGAATCAGCCTCGAAGGTCATCGGCATTTTTCCATTTCGTCTTACGTGTTCCTTGTGGTGTAAACGGAACAAATTGACGAAATTTTTCAAAGGTTCCGCTATTGCGCGGACAAAATGTCGCAGAGGATTTTCGACGCAAAAAACGTCGCGCACTTTCAGTGCTGTTATTTCAATAATTAGGCATTGCCGCGATTAATTATTAATTAAATAATTATAATAAAATAATATCTGTAATTATTGAATTATTTGTTGAATTTTTTAATAGTTGTATAAATTCTTCCATATTTCTATGAGATAAATGCAAATCAACGATTCTTGCGTGAATTTAAAATCAAATAATATTACTTTGTTTAAGTAATTATTTACATTTATTTATTTTATCTTTTAATTTCATTAAAATTATAATGCTATATGTTTGATATTTAAACAGAACTCACTTAAAAAGCGTTTATATAAGTGATATATATGATATAATTGTTATGCAAAGTCAGAGTTGTACGTGTTTCAACAATAAATAAAGATTCTCCGAAAATTCCCGATTTTTAGTTAATTTTATTTTTACAAATTTAACACAATTGTTTGAAAATGTTGGATGAGATAAATTACAAAAAATAAAACAAAATAAAATTAAAATGTATTGAACGTGAAATGTGACACGTATACGATTTTCGTGCAGCACGTTACGTACCTACATTACGTTACGTTGATTATTTATTTAAATCGTATGGATCACTTAAATGCGTAGCGCGCTATTCTCGCGTGTTTGTTAGAATCCTTGAATGTTTTTACCTACGTTCATCACTATGGCACATGTCGTAATTTTTTTTCTCGAACTTTGCACGTTGCGGTTTATTTTCGCACCACGTCCCTCATTAATTTGCTCGTCAAAAGGATAATCGTGCAACAGGTCGCTGATCTGAGAATTACGTAAAATGCTTTTGCTTCTATAGTCCGATGTCGACACGTATGATATACGTATAAAAATCTAAAGCCGAATGGTTTCATCAAATGCAGCCTTTCGTCTAGTTTGCTATTTTATTGATAAGTATCTAACAATTATAATCTCCCAGTATGTCGTAAGGGATAAAGTACAAATAATATATGCTACGATTTACACTTCAATTTAATTCAAGGAAATAAGTTTTTCATTTTCTCGATATAGTATTATATTTATTGCTTAAGCATATGCGAGGAATGCACGTGTGGCAAATCGTTACCATCTGCTTCAGGTGTCCTCGTTATATGAACGGCAAAATGTTACATGGCCGAGTTCTCACTAGATGTGACACTCTGACCACTTCTCGTCTGACCGCGTCTTGTATAATACGCACTGTTGTCTAGACGATAAATCTTTAAGTAATATCATGCAACACACGTTATTGACGCAAAATTTTTACGCCATCTACTTATTGCGTAAAAGTCTAGTATTAATAAATAAGAAGTTGTCATCTTGACGCACACTCTCAAGTAAAAGTCGTAAAAAGTCGGCATAATAATATTTTTTTCATTTATTATGACATATTTTAAGTTATAGACTGATAAACAAGAATTCTAAGGATCTTTTTATATTTGTTTACGTAAGATCAAATAAAACTAGTTTTATGAGATGTAAAATAGTTTGATTGATGCTCCTTTCTTATTTTATCGTACTTTGTAACGCGCTAATTATTTAAAATCTGACTAAATTGTTTCTAAAATAACACTTTTATCTACACATTAGTTTTTACATACATATTTATATATAAATATCTATTTTCTCTATAATAACACATACGCTTTCAATCGTTAAAAGCATATACTCGTACCTTTGACTTACGACGCCAATTTTCAAGTCATTTAAAAAACTGAAGCAACTAACAAGTGTGTAAAAAATAGTGGATAAAATATGAGGCAAAAATGTGGCGTCATAAGTGACAGTTATTTAACAATTACGAAGAAATCTTCGCAAATGTTACAATCCTAACTTATCTAGACTTCAGTCTAAGATCTAAAAATGTTCTATGATCAACAGAACTTTGGAACAATCTTCACAAACTCTAATCAACAATATCTATCCAGGAGACATGTGATCGGAACTTGTGGAACGTTTCCTAATAAGAAACGATGATCATTGAGCAATTGTTTCATAGTATCGCGAATGCAAAATAAAATCAGACGTTTTTATTTAGGATTATCCGACGGTAGACCCTTTATGGCGAAAGTACCACGGAAGAACGGCTTGAAAATTTCCAGCAATGTCTGCGTTCGACGGGCTGAATTCTGAAAAATAAAAAGCTACCATTAACAACAGTATAGGGTTTTCCGACTCTATCGGAAATGGATAAATAGTTTCTTTTTTTGTAGTAAATACAGATCTAGCGAAATGAGTGAAAGGTGATGCGAACACGACCCTAATCCGTTTAGGATGTATCAAAAAAATATTGCATCATATATAATAACAAATAAGAAATATATAATTAGACTCGCGCGCCAGCGGAAAACAATCATTAACACTGTATCTCCTATTAGCATACGTTGCCTAATTAACCTACGTGCATTGTACTTACTAGGATTACGCTGTTGAGAACTTTGCTAACGTTAGTTATTAGGTTGAAACCAGTGCCGAATGCGCTTGATGGTATTTCCAAGGATACCCTATTCCTATCAAACTCAGGTGTATCCTCCGTAGTGGTAATAATCCCTTTCTGCAAATACATATAATCAGATTTTTTTCCCGTTACTTTATTGTATATCTTATCATTTATTAGAATAGTAATGATAGAGTATCACGTGGGAAAATGTAGGAATGAAAGTATGTGTTTCATTATAAATTCCAGTTGTAATTATGCGTTATAGGTAATTATGTATTTTTACGACCTTTTTTTAATTATAATTGAATATATTCAATGAATATGAATAAAGAAGAGAAAACTTAAACGTGAATTACTAGCGTTATAATTTTATATATATTTATTACGTTTATACTTTTATAATTTTTGTATTTTTATTCAGATTTAAGTGAAAAAGGATTCTTTATATAATTATAGAGATATTTATTTATTTATATAACAAACTGTTTTTACAGAAAGATACTCGTGTGAGCGACACTTCAAAGAGACGACAATGAAAAGTTTGAATTAAATTGTTAATTTCAATTAATCTTCAATTAATATAAAAAAACATAAATTAAGAGATATCAAAGTAAATGTATGTATAGATCAAATCTAAAGGTGTAATAGGAATATGGGAGGAAGGGATACATTAGAGATTTCACGATACTCTTGCAATTCGCCTCATATAGTAGACAAAAATATAATTGTAAGTTTATTTGACATCAACATTATCACACCATCATCACCATCTTTTATATATTAATTTTTTTTTGTCATGGAGCATTTGGATGCGCTATTTACATCGCTTGCACATAGCAAATAGTCCACAAGTTCGTCGCGCTCCTAAAGGCTACTCTTAAATTATTTACAGCGTTCACGGTGGCAAATCGCGAATGACGCCGCTAGTTCTTCTATAATTTATATTAGACATAGCGTAGTCCACACAATTCGGCGGGAAGTGTTGATTCGTCAGGAGAGGAGTTTCCTGGAGAATTTCGTTTCTCTCAGCTTTTTCCTGAATTTTTCGTTTGGATTCTTTTAAATACGGAGTTTCTGTGAGAGAGAAGGGCTTCTCTAGAGAAAGGAAGGAGGTTCTGCCAATTTATCAGCCCAGCTAGAAACAGAAATTCACATTCCGTGTTACATGGAACACCCACATACTCCATCGAAAGTGAAATCCATTGATCCTGTCCGTCCCATTTTCTCGTGGTGTGTTTAACGTTCGTTCGTTGTCTGTCGCTCTTTTTCTCCCCCAAAAAGGTTTCTTCTCTCAAACGCTGCTGCTCCGCTGATCCAGGTGCTAAAGTCCAGGCTGTCAAACGTCCCCTTTCCGCATCCCATCGATATCCCGCTTTATCCCGCCCGCCTTTAAGCCGGATAATACGCCGCTTGTGGTGGCGTATAATCGTACTGTTTGTGTACAATACTTGTTTTAATGGTACATATGATTTGTGCTCGGAAGGCCTTGTTCTCGTGAAGGCGCCTTCCGAGGTTAAAGAGGTGATATCGCAGCAACATTCGATTAGCCGTACAACCAAAGGTTTAATGAAGCGTGTCGACGGGACTGACGAAGCAGGTTTCTTTATTGTATTCAATTATGATGCTTATATATTAATGGTACGTCATGGCACAGAGAAAGGTGCCAAAGCAGGTACAATGGTAAATACAACGGCAGAAATAGCATGCTCTTAATGTTATACAGTTAATTATTATACAGAAACTGAAGGTCTACCAGGATTAGTAATTTTATTAAATGTATCACGTTAATAAAAAATGAAAAATTAATAAGATAAAAAAAGCGATGTTATAACCATGCAATACCGAATGAATAAATATAAAGGAAAAGTATAGTGTATAGGAAAAATATAGTGAAGAATATTTTTATGATATGTGGTGCTAAATTCTGATTAAAATGCGAGAAAAACACTTTAAAAAAGCGTTTACCAACTTATTTCCTTATCGTATAGCGATGTAATGAATTGTTATCATTGCAAATAGCGATAGCCTCACATGCAACGTCGCCAACAGTCACCCTCGTCCGAGTTTATTAAGTATAGACTGTTCATCGAACAATTTCTAGGAGAAAACCGTCATATTATTTTCCATGTAGTATACCGCTTTCTTACGAAGACACAGATATTTCAGCAGAGACAGCTTGCGTTACGTATCAGACACAGAACAGGCAGGACTTGTACGGGACTTGAAAATATATAAAAAAAGAAACAGTTTGCACAGAGAGAGATAAAGATATAAAATTGGCTCATTGTGATCCTACCCCTGCCAGGTTGGCGAAAGCTCCGAGATTGATGCCGGCGTTCGCGCCGCCAGTTCCGCCAGAAGAAGCGCCTCCGGAGCTACCCTGATCGCCACCACTGCTACCACCGCTTAAACCGCCTAAACCGCCGCTTAAACTGCCTAAACCGCCGCTACCTTGGCTCAGGCTCGACAAGGAGCCGATCTTTTGAGACAAGAGATTGCCGATGAAGGCCGATGATCCTCCTCCTGCACCGCCGTCTGCATGTCCTGCATTTTACAAGCAATTAAAAAATGATATAAAACGGTGACAATAAAAATAAATGCCATATGTATCTTAAAAAGATGTATATCAATGGTGAAATGCTATAATTGCGTAAAATGTCTTGCGACTAATTTTTTCTCACCAGAAATCTGATCCCTGGATTTTTCAGATTTGAAAGTTTTTTTACCCGACTTTTATGAAAAATTCTTGTTTAAAAATCCATCGAAAAAATTTTCTTGCGATCTCACGCACCTGTACCATCACCGCCACTCGCACCACCAGAAAGCGAGCTTAATGGCGCAATTTTCCCGGCCAGGGCCTTAGTGATGCCAGCCGAGGCGCCTGAGAAGAATGTCGCCGCGCTATTTATAATAGGCCCAATGCTGCCCGTCGCAGCCTGAACCTTTTGAGATAATAATTTGTTGAGGAACTCCGACGTAGCCGAATGCTTAGGATCGATTCCAAAAGCAGCATTTTTCGCTTTGTTAGATTCGTCGAGAACTGAGAGCGCTTTCGTTTTCGAGTCTATGAAGGAATCCACTTTCTACAACGATATATGCTGATTAAAGAAACTAATAGTAATAATTTATCATTTATATAATATCTACATTATACATAAAGATTTTTAGAATAGTAGTAATATTAAAAGTAAACGTTTCCAGTTCAGAAGAGATTTGTTAAATTTCAAATGCGATCTTAATTATAATTATTAATTACAGCCTATTACAAAATATTTTAAATTATTGTATGTAAGAATAGTAGAGATTTTATAAAGAAAATGAACTAATTATTCTTACGTCAAACACAAAATTAATGATGCCGTTCGATACTCCAAGCTTGAGGCCGATCTTTCTCTTGTCCCTATCGCCTCTTTCGTCATCGGCCGTCGCATCATCAGTTTCGGCTACCTATGCAGATCGGAAAATTAAGCTGCTTTAAGATTGTTAATTAAGAGAGATAATACAAAGTAACAAGATTAAAGCTAAAGTTCATAATTAAGAGGAAAAAGAGATCGATGATGAAACGCGTTATTGCAGGAGAAGAAGTTTCCTCCATTCAAATTTTATCAAAATCGTACTGCTCTCTTGTGTATTACTCAAGTATTACGTATTTCGTTACATCGATACTATCGAGGTAACCTGTTCTATAAATGTTTGCACCAAGTGTCTACAATTCTACAATGTCTGGCAGAAAATGGAAAATTATTACAATCGTGCCTGACGCGATATTTACGTATAGTTTTCTAAAGCTGTAATTTTTCGTACGCGCATGCAACCCCATTACGCAACGCTGCTTTCGTTCTAGAGGAACGAGGTCGGTCTATGTTATAGTGTTGCTCGAGCGCGGAATCACAACCGCGCGCGATTACATTAACGCGTGATCGCGAGCGGCGATAACGATACAACATTGCTCCGTTGACCGATGCGCGCGTGCACGACGTTTCAAAGAAATTTCGTTACACGCGTGCATCCGTCTCTAGCGTGTTCGAACTCATACAGGCAGTAGCACCGGCTACTTTCACTCTTTAACTCGTTCCCCGAGATCATGTTTCTCTCTTTTTCGTATTACCCCTTGTCCTCTGTCTCCCTTGTCTCTCTTTTCCTCCCATTTACCGTCTCATTTACAGCGGGATTAGCTAACGTAATGCGTTCGGATATCGGATATCTTCCTTCAGTCTTTCTTCCGACTCTCGCTTACGACAGCGAATAAATTTTCTTCTCCCATCGATTCGATCATCATGTTTACGCAACCGGTTTTTTATTAAATATTTATGTACAAATATAAATTTCTTTTCCAAAATTAAATATAATTTATTTTAAAAAAATAGAAAATCGCGGCATAAGGTGAAGAGTATACACTTTCCCCTAGATTAATGTTGAAGATAAATATTTAATTATATAAGCTACGAGATTTGGTGCTGACCCAGATATCTCTCTCCTTTCGATTGCGTACTTCCTAATCGGTTGACGTAAAATTATCGAACAGTCAATTTTTGCGATGCCTTACTTTCACTCTCGTTTACTAAATGTTAAACTTGTCATTTTGTTTTCTATAGGTAATATATGTTTCGAGGTACTTGTTCTAGGTCGAGTGAAGGTATAACACGCAGCGCGCGCATTTAATCGATGCGCATTTGGAGGGAGAAAGGAAGGACGCAACGTCGCGGAACGTTGACTGTCGAATTCTTGGCGGTTCTTCACATTTCGGAGAGATCATTGCACGTGTATATCGGATAATTCGATTACGCTTTTCCGTGTCTCGACTTCTCAAGAGCCCCTAAGGACGCGCGGTGCGCGACGGCATCGTAAAATACCGCTCTCGACATAAGAGATTGACAATAGCTTTCTGCAAGTACTTCAGCATTCAAATCGCTTCATTAAAGCGAGGTGCGCGATCGCAGCTCTCCTTCCATTTCATTCTCTTTTACTTTCTAAATAAGATTTGAAGTAATTCGTCCCTCCGATAACTTTCTTGATACGTACGACACTACTAGAAAGCAGAGAACATTTAATATCTTAATGTATAATATTGTATCTTGTCGCTTCGGCACTTTAAATGATAGAAATAAAATGTAGAACTTACTTCGTTCAGCGGACTGAGGTCTTCTTCCGCGTCTCTCTTGACGACAGGACTGCAATTGGCAATGACGATAGCCAAAAACAGTCCACAGAATGCACATAACACCCGCATTGCGTCTTCTTCACTAGGTCGATCGGTTCCGATTCAGTCTGCATGAATAAAAAAGTTGTCTGACAAGGCGGCAGGATTCCCGGTAATAATAAAATCGAAAGTAAATCTTGACTGTCGAGTGAAAGGGTGCCTGGAGCAAACTTGGTAATATTTAAAAACGAATTTTCAGCCAGCTTTTGTCAACAGTCAGGGACTGATAACAATTCTGTGCAATCAGTGAAATGAAGAAAATTAGATTCGAGCAAATCGTGTTATGTAAATGCAATATATGCAAACCGAATTTTCCATTTTCGACAAACTTTTCCTTAAAGAACCCATCCAAAATTATAACAACAACCTAGAGATTTATATTTTGCAATAAAAAAGAAAAGAAATTGTACAAAAAATAAAGAAATTTTTTAGAAATTAGGAATAAAGTCAGAATTTATAAAGGTGTTTTATAATAAAAAGCTGTCAATTAGTTGCATATTAGCTATATTAGACGTAAAATAATTGGTTAAATAATACGCCGCAATTTCAAGGAACAAAAAGTGATTAGCTTGTTAGTAATAAGCAGCTTTCAATCTGTCAAATTACAAGCGTAAAATGATTGGGCGCTGTAATTGATAAGGACGGATAAGTGATCAGCTGGTAAAATAATCGCCACGTAGTTAATAAGAGAGAGAAATATGTAAGTAAAACTATAGGAGAAAGAGAATAATGTCACTTAACACGTGTTCAATTTATACCAACTTGTTGAAAACAGATTTCTTCGTCAAATAGAAAAATAGAATAGAAAAATCAATGAGAACTCAGGCGAGAGCGTGTCAGTCACGTGGCAGTCAAAGCAGAACGTATATGTGAAGGGATTGCGTGGACTTACGAGTGCCGGCGAGTGTGCGTACGATCGAGCGAATGCGTGAGTTGTGTACCTGACGGAGTGCGAGGCTCGTTTGAGGACCACAGTGAAGGAGGTCCCGATGTCTTACGGAGCCGAAGGGGAAACGAAGGCGCGAGCATGTGTGCCCCTTCGAGAATCAAGAATCGTGCACCGCGAGCCTCGCCTCCCGCAGGTGGGGCGACCTCCAATTCACTCCATTCGCGAAACCCGCTCAGCAGCCGACATCATCCAATGAGACACCCTCCCTCTCCTTCGTTACTGTCGTCCTCGCTTAGCTAATACGTCAGCTTGCGTAGTACTGAATTACACAGTTATAAGCTCGTCGGAAGTTACCGATTTGACAAAGGCCAGAGTACAAATTTCGTATTTGACTAAGGCCAAAGTCCGATTCGAAAAAGTCGCCAAGCTGAGTCCAAAATTTTTTTCTTTTTTTTTTTTACATAATTATCTATCTAAAATGAAATTGTATAGCGGCGTCTACAATAAGAATTAAGACTTAAGATTTAAGAATCACTCATCTCACGTGAGATGAATAATCGACTATGATTGGACAATTTTCTTAAATTTTCTTAAGTTTTAAGTCTCATTGTAGACGTCATTTAAGGCGCTCGATACATCAGTTTCTAAGTACACCGCTTTTGGACGCATTTCTTTTTTTATGGTGATGATAATTTAATTTAATAATCTCAGCGTCACGCTTCGCGCGTAAGCAACAATCAAATCTTAAAAATCAAAAATTACGATATCATCGCTATTTTTGATTATCATCTTTCTCGAAAGTAATAAAAGATGAGTGATGTATGAAGTATTAAATAATATGGGAACTACATAACTTTTAGTATTGTTTAACGTATATGCAAGCAAGTGCTATGTAAGTCAATAGAATGTATAATCCAGTAATACGCGGTTTAAGATAATAGCTTGAAAAGAAGCTGACTAAAATCACCTTTGGTATTCCAACTCCCATTCAAGTTGTGTGAATGTCTACAAGAATTTGCATATGCAATATGCATATTAATACTATTATTGCGTGATTTTAAAGCTTGATGATTTACGTTTAAACTTTCTCAAACCATTTTGAAGTTGTCTCTCATGTAAAAAATTGGAGAATCTAGTTTACGTAAGAGATAATTTCTCCAAATTGGATCGTTTATCTTCGTTATTTCGCATATTGTAAAAATGGCTCGTGCAAGAAATTACGAATAGAAGAGATGAGACATATTACATGATATTTACATCACGTCGTAACGTTTGATAATCTGCCAACAGAAGTTGAGAAATTGGAACTATTACTTGAGGAAATCTCACTTCACTTAGTTTAACGTCATATTAATTATTTCTATCTTTATAACAATCGCTAATTATTGTTACATGCAATAGATTTCGTTTGCAATTATCGTGCTCACTGGTTTAATCTTATAGAAATAATCAAGATGAACTCTCCTTTTACCTTGACCATAATCTAAAAAGTAGCGTTTTGATTTCAAATTCCCTTTGAAAAACGCAGCATGTAATTGATTAGAATTAGTCATCGAACGGACGCTCCTTCCGCTTGTTGCAGATATTTTCTCTTTTTGATCGCGTGCGGCAGGAAAAAGATATAGATTTGGTCAGATTGCGCACACATATAACGCGCGATAATAATTCTTAATTCAATTGAGGCTTAATTGGGAGAGCAAGAACTATAGACTTAGAACTTAAATTAGACCCATATATACCTCAAGAAAAGAGTTGCAGTTATGTATTTAACAATACTACCGTTTCCGACACTTCAAACTTAATTATAGATAGGCTGACAACATGCAATGTCTTTTTTGTTATTTCTACAACACAATATAAACGATTAAATAGCAAGAAAATTCCAAATTATTAAAATCCTGTGCACGAACTTGTCGAAAAAGATATTAAGGACGCTTATCACGAAGAATTTGGAGATATGACTTTAAAATACACTTAAAATTGCATTTGTAACACTGTAAATTAAAACAGCTATAATCTATTCTACACACATCTCGACAGCCGTTATTTTTTTAGGGCAATTGCTCAATGGATTCCGTCGCCATTTATATGCGCTGCATGATGATAAAATCAGGTTTTCAAAAATGTGTTATAATTTTTCGCAGCTAAATGTCGCAATAGCAATTCAGCTTCGAAATAATTCGAAGAATCGCTAAAAATTTTTATATTAAGTTATAAATTGCTATAACAATTGTATAACAATAAATCGTTTAGCTTAGAAATACATATGGATATCATTTATAATCCATAATCAAGAGAAAAACATTAAATTTCTCTCCGATTGAAATATTTTTGAATATTTGAGCATCCGAGAGTATCCGAATGAAATCAATTATTTTGGATGCGCGACAGAGCTTTATTGGCTGACGAAGTAGTAATACTATTCTGTGGTCAGACTGTCCAACCGGTCGTGAAGTGGCGCCACGCGGCGAACACGCGCCCAGACGAATACGGCATCTCAGCCGCAACCGAAGAAACATCGAATGACTTTCCAATGGAAGAGAGAGTAACGTACCTCTCGGTAATTCTCCTGTAGGAGGAAAGTAAAAAGGGGAGCAGAAAATCCCACGCGTAAAGGCTGCGGGCTTACGTAAAGAGGCCGCGTGTGTGTATGTGTGTAACTCATTCCTCCAAAAATGAATCATTATTCACATCGGCACCTTGCCGGAACCGCACAGCCGCCACGCGGGCTTGTTACGATATATGCATTTTTTCCCTGAAATTATTGAAATTTCTAGAATTTCTCTCGTATAACTGCGGCAAAATTCTCCAATAAAAAAAAAACAGATCAAATGAGGACAATTGCCGAGAGGTAAAAGGAGATAATAGCGGTATCCTTGTGCGCGTAATTTTTTATCTATATACGCGTAATTAATACGTATATCCTCGTATCTGTGAGATCCGGGATACGATTATGATAATATTAGATACATGTTAAACGTTGCATCGAACGTTCTAGTGGTGTCACATATGAATGAGAGGGAATAACTTGCGCCATAACGTAAACGCGCATGTTCAACAACAATGTACATATATTTCAGAATCAATGCTAATATGTTGTAACTGTTTACCTGTACATTTTTATGCGTACATTTATTGACATATTTAACTTTAACGTCGTCTTCTGCGTTTTATTGGCAGAAGAGTGCACAGCAAAAATTTCAAGACGTTCTAAGAATAGCTGTTTGGAGTTACGATTACAGAATTACGAAAAGACGAGAGTTAAATGGGTCATCAGTCGTTGACTTTCACGGTGTCTCTCAGGTTACGTTTGTAGATTCTTTTTAATAAAATGTAAATCTTCAATATTTCACGCGATAAATATGTATATGCAAGACGCGGCTAAATTTCATATTTGATTAACTCGACTCACGAAACGTGATTTTTCTTACCGAGCAATCTATCCGTCGCGCAGATTTCTAATTTTCACTCAGCTTACTAATCAATAAAGAATACATTTATTTATCCAATCAACTGAGGAAGAAATTAAAATATTTAAATGTTATATTTATGAAATACATATATAAAATGAATCATGTCTTGCAAAATTGAATTTAAATGAACGTCACGAAGCTGGCATTAATGTAGAGCTCATGAATAATGCCTACTGTTAATGATAAATAAGTTCAGATGTACATCTATTACTCAGTATTACTCATTGTCAGTGTATCATTATTGTCACAGCATCTAGAGCTGTCTGCATTAACTTTACAGATTACTTTCCTTTCAATAATTGTTTATTAATTCGTTTCGCTTTCATCTATCTCGCGATTCCGTTTCTACCTTCGTCCCACGGACTTGGTCGCTTTCTTCTCGTAGGCAGCAATTTTCGATTCCGGCCCCAAGAGAGAACCGCAAGACACACTCGTGAAACTGTTGCAACGGTTCACCAATGACGTATGCCACTCGATGGTGTCACTTGCGATCGCTCCGAGCGATCGGTCACTCGCGCAACCGCGACCTTTGCCGCGAACGTCCTCTCGATCATCGAACGCGATGCGTGAGATGAGCGAAGGTGGACGTCTCCGTCGGAGAGAAACTCCCGAAACGAAAAGAAACGCGACAGCCGTTGTTCGCGACGCGGCCGATCGATCGGGACTTTGATACGTGGCTGCGACTATCCGCCGGAACGAAGCCGAGGAGCGGCCACGCGTTCGCCGTTCGCGAAGAAAGTTCCAACGGGGAAATTGGCCGCAAACGAACGCGTCACCGTGGCGACGCGAACGACGCGATGACGAAGGTGGGCGAGGAGATTTACGGCGCGGCGCGGTGCGGCGAAGCGATTTCCGCGTATGTCGCGTGACACGCGCGTACAACGGGCCTGTCTCGCGCGTTGACGGATCGATGATAGGATTTGCTGGATCAATTGGTTCATCAACCGGAAGTAAAGATGCGGGGCGCGGGGGTTTCCGCGATTATTTCCGCGGGATTTCCTCCGCAGGTCAATTTTGTATCTTTGCAAGACGGTGACACACGTATGTTTCATGGAAATTATGACGAGGCGGATATTATCATGGGGAATACCGAACGATAGTATTTTGTGGAAATTTTATAAACGACTCGTTCGAGTGAAATGCAGAGAGGAAAGTAGAAGTATAGTTACGTAAAAAAACGTTATGTTCTTAAAGAGCGCGCTTATTATTCCATTCTGCGAAGTGCTAATAAGGTGATATAACGAACAAATTTATAATAAGTAGATTGTATCCTTGCGCGCGCTTACGCAATACCGTGTCGCATTATGCAATTGTTAATAAACGTGTCACATAATTTTTAGATTCATCACTTCAAGAAGCATTTCCCCTTTTATTATGAGCAAGTTGTTTTAAAATACATCAAAAAGATGGGCCATTACGATGTAATAAATTGCGGTGTTTTGTACATTTAAAAACCGCGATAACAATTTATTTCTTCTTGTTTTACGTAATGGCGGCGGCACGTGTTCCGATCGTCCGTTCGTTCGTGCGTGCGTGCAACGTTTGTTCGCGAGCGGAGCGACCGATGACGCGACGGCCCGTTGTTCAATCCCGGTCGTGCAACCCGAATAAATATCGTTCTTTACTTTCTCCGACCGGCTGTGCCTACGAAACTTCCTCTACTGCCGTCGTCAGCCGTATCGAGCATGCACTAAGAAATTTATTATAATGGACGTGACGTGTGTCTCGTCGCGCTCAGTCCTCACGAGAACGAGAGTAAAAGTCGATCGCATTCATTTCCCGCGACGCGCGTCTTTCTTTTATTCTTCCGGCGTCAGCGCGGTCACTTTTTTCCAATAAAGAAACTCGATTGATTAATTATCTTTAGCGATTAATGATCACACAATAACGTTGCAATAATAACATAAGTTTCAACATAATAGCGTAGATTAGATCTATTTTCACTAAAGTAATACGGATACGCCATGGAGAGAGAGAGAGAGAGTCCGTGTCGCACGTTTTGCTCCGGAAGTTCATTTCATAACTACATACGTTTGAACAAGCGCGCATTAACCAAGGTGAGAGTGCATGACGGAGATTCAATCTCGTGCCATTTTCTACTTTGTGTAAGAATCGAGCGAGCGTGTGTGCAGTCCGCAATAAAATAGATATGCAGTTAATAAGCGATAACGAGATAATAATCGAAACGCGCAATGCAGATAATAGCGGGTTTTCGATCAGATTTAGATCATCATGCCGTTGTAGAAATCTGCTACATTTGCGTAATCTATATACATTGGTAAGATATATTACCTACTGTTTCGTAACTAAGGTGATAATTTTAACATATCTTCGACATGCAACACACGGCATTCTGTGCATTATCGTATAAAGCTAATATAGTTCTGCATCAGAATAACATTAGCGAGTCAAAAAAATATTGTTAGTTACTGCGGCGATCAATATTGGAACGTTGGCAAATTATTACGTGGCAAACCAAGACGGAAAGCCGATAATTTGAGGTAAATGATGGTAACACTTTTCTTTATATATACATTTTGTAATTTAAAAAACGTGTGCGTATAAAAAGTTAAAAAGAAACCGAGAAAGGCTGTGTCCGAACACATTGTGACGAGTTCATATTGACACCTAATATATATTTTTAGACAATAGCAATATGTTAGAAGCCAAGCGATAAGCGGTTATTACATGTATTTAAGTTAATCGTTATGACGTCAAACCTCGAATAGCTTTCCTCCAGCGATATGGTTTTCAAGTGCAAAATAAGTCAAGATGTCATACAAGTACATAGTCGGATCTGCCATTTTCATCGCCGCTCTGTTAACCGTTAACACTGTACCCGCTAGAGAAGTTTCCTATTCCAATAAACAGGATCTAATCATCGGCAACAGGGTGCCCAACGACAGAGAGAGCCTCAAAGAGAACGTCGTAAAAAAAGCTAGCTGGAACAATGTTCAGATTGTCGAGAAGACCTACAATGTCTCGGCGAATGAACGTATCACTATGGTTGCAATGTTGGATCAGAATACAAACAGAAAAGGCGCGAAAGCTAGTGTTTTGCAAGGTGGACCTGGATGGAGCAACGTCACCGTGAAGTTCAAAAGTCAAAGAAGTGAGCGCATTGATTTCATCGTTCAGTTGTACTCACGACTACAATCGGTGGAAGCAGCCACTCCTATGACTGATACAACGACGCTTTCTGGACGCAATTAGGATGGAGAAGTAAAATAAGCAATCTTAAAAGCTACATCAACTCAATATGTTCTGAGCTATTGCAACATTGTCACCATTGCCACTAAAAGAAGACATGTCATTAAATATTCTTGTTATTTACGCGTTATTGTTTGATGTCTTGTACATATAATCAATAAATCAATTGATGTAATTGAGTGTTTACCTTTAAAATTCTCAAATTTATATACTTAAAAACTTATGTGTACCTACATATAAAATCGTAGGACATAAATATAAATAAATCATCAGCTGTTTGTATGTAATAAATTTTAATAACGCACACTTATAGTATCAAATTGACGGCACTCTATAAAAAGCAGGCTGTATGTGTCATTCGTGCTATTCTGTTTATGGGTCAGAGAAATATTTTATAAAATGTTTGAAAAAGTATGCCGTTCTAACGACTTTGTGCTTTTATGCGATGTAAGCGTGTTCATCGCAGATCATAAAGGCATGCAAATCACACGTTTCGCCCATCCATGTAATTATTGTACAAACAGCAGATGATGCAAAACGGATCGCGACGCGCCGCATGACCCACCGGTAATTACTGTCAAGTTTTAGCCGTGACAGCTGACACTACCGAGTTAATCCCACGTGGCGAAATCGCGCGCCACGTGCAATTACGCGCGCGGATGTATACGCTCGCATCTCGCGGCGGCCCGGAATGATTGGAATGTCCCCCGTTACAGCAAGGTGCATCTGTGTATTCAACTCTGTTTGTTCCAGTTCGCGGTGTCGCAAACGCGCGACACTGTCCGTAATCAGTCTGATCGTTCCAAGCGACGTGACGCGACTTCTCGCCGATCGCCCCGAAGGCGTCGCGAGTGTGTCGCGCGCCAAGTGTCTGCGCATCTCACAATCGCGAACGATTAGCAAATAGGAATCCGTCGGTCAAAGATACAGATCGAGCAGAGGTTTCTCGTTAAGAGATATTAATTAATTTTCGATCGAAAAGAGGCGCACCGGGTGATTAAACGTATATGAATTATAACGTGGATCGTCGCGCTTGCATGTATCTCTACCACCGTCATTAGGTCATTAGGTATTCTATGCATAATCCGCGTCTGATAATCACGGGACAGAATCATGGGAGAATATCGGAACAGTTTTTTTTCCTCTCTTTTTTTCATACAGTCTTGAGATTCTAGACCATGGTGATCTACTTGAGGAACACTCTTGGGTAAGAGTGGATGATCTTCGAGGCCTCGCGGCGCCGCAATGGAGGTCACGATCTTCTGCGTGATCCAGATTTACTCCAAACGGACAATCATTTCGCAAGCCATAAATTCTCACAATGCAAATTAGCGTGATACTACAAATTGCACGATTAGAGGAAATCAATAGCGTAAATGTCATGCTCATCAATCGTATATGACGAGCAGAATGTTTAGAATAATGGCGCTATAGAGCCATTTTTTTTTTGTAATAAAATGCAAGATATAATACGTCGCTATTTTACTTAATTGAGCGTGCCCAGCATATAATCACTTTAACGTTTCTCCGGAGCAGTAAACTGTGTTCCAGTTACTGCAAATTATTCAGCAACGTGTGTCTATACCAGCACGAGAGCAACGGGTTTTTACGGCCGACTGATAGCCGCCAGCATTAATCAAGCTTAGCCGTTGATCGCACATCGTGTCAACGACCTCCAACGACGAGGATGAAAGTGGCTCCCGTTTTGACTTTATACGTGAAACGACGCGGCGTGACGTAAGGCTTAATCTTAACTCGATAGAAATATGACCCAATTCTATTGACTGACGTTTATGCCTAATTATTTGCACTTGCAAAAAGGAAATTGCATCAAAATGGAAACCACATACGACTTCTTTTATGATTTATTACACGATTGATTACACAATGAAAAATTAGGTATATATATTAACTAAAATAGGTATATATATATATATATATATATATATATATATATATACCTATATATATATTTGTGAAGAAAATAAAATTTCTATATATTAAACGTTTCATCCGATTTAAATAAAATCTCGATTAAAATGGTCGACCAATGAAACTGGCTGTTGGGCGTAATACGAATTGCGTAATATGAATAAGAGTCCGCGTCTGTATACCCACGACTAGGAATGTCTGCCATGTTTTAGCAAAGCATTACGAGGGTCAACTAACGACCTCGAGTCTACGAAAAGTTTCACTTTCTTTGGCGATAGAAAGTGATTGCGGCCTTCGACGTTATTTTGCCATCTTTAGCTGATCGCTAGACTTCATACATTTAACATATTTTTACAAACTGGTAGAACTATTTCGCAAACTAGAAAATTATACTCTTATTTATGCTCTTCCTCTTCTTCTGTCATAAATTAACATTTATTTAAATTACTTTATTTAAATTAAATCTTTTCACCTTCTCCTTTTCTCCTAAATTACCTTGTTTTTGTTTATATGTTATTTTTGGTTGTGTGTTATTTATGGTTATTTATGTTATTTATGGTTACATTTACTTTTCTAAAAACCTTGCTTGCTTCATAGCTGTTAAGTCGACTTTTACCGCCGATTTGTCAAAGTTACAAACGTATATTTCTATATCGCGGAGGAAGCACTATGACAGCCTTGGGCGCCTCGATATTGCCGGAAGAGAATGATCTTCCGTGTAATCCTGGAAGGATTCATAGGTCAGATAAAGTGAAACGTGCTTTCACTTGAATCGAGAATATCAATGCAACACGATCTTTCGGAACATAATGGGAGCTTAAGGAGAGACAATACGCGAGAATCGTTACTTCTTTTTACTCATTAATTGCAATAAGCTTGTAAAGCCTCCAGTTACTCTAAGTTACTCCAAGCTGCTTATCTCTTTCCATTCGTGGTCTTATAGATTGCGCAATTAAAACAAATTTCTCGTTGATAACAAAAATCGTTACAAGATCGTAATACATGTATACGCACGAAAAGAATGGTTTTGTAGAAGTATTTGAAAATTTAGCTAGGTACAGAACTAAAAATAATTTCGTTGAACCATCAAAATAATTATATAGGATGCGCATGATAAACAATAACTGCAAAAAGTTTTGACATTCATTACGTAAAATTATTCTGATGGTCCAACAAAAAAATTCTTTTCAGATCTGTATTTAATTAAATTTTTAGATACTTCAAAACCGCTCGTTTTATGTATCAATAAAAGAAAAAAGATTACTTCCGGGAAATATAAAATAAATGACGAAGAATTATTATGTAAAGGCTAACGAACCGAGCATCTCTCCGAGCTTCTAGCATCTTTCTGTTTATGCCCTCCCAAAAATATGTTAATGATATACGTAATGTCCAGGAAACGAATATGGCCGATTAAGAATTTTCACTTCCGTTCACATAACGGCTTCGGTCAGACCTCGCGTTTTATCATTTACATGCGACCGGTATCGAAGTGAAATCGTCGAACGCAGACGCATCGATTAGAAGAGTTTGCGTGATTATTACGTGATGCAAATGTGAGCCTACAGACAAACAAAAAGAAATATTGCGAAACTCGTGTCGACTTTAGGGACCCGCTGGTCGGCAGGTCGATTTGAGGGACAAAGGCCGAATTCTTCGAACGATGAGAGGAATTCTAGTATAGAGAACTTTCACCAGCCATTTCGAAAAAGTCAAGTGTCGATTTGTTGCTGTAGGCAATTAAATCGTCGTTTACGCAATGCTACGAGCGCAGGTCCGCATCCCGGCCGCGTCGCGTGCTATTAGTGAATTTCACGAACCATTAAAACACGCTATATCGCGCACGATGTCAAATGATATTTCCTCATGCCGACCCGTTAAAGTCGATCGGTTAAAGAAATGTAAAGCAGGGTGTCCACGAGGGGTGGTGAAAACAGGTGGAACAAATAGGAGCACAAAATTGGCTGATTTACGCGAATTGCGTAAATCTGTCAACCCATAATAAGCCGGGAGACGTTTGACCTGCCGACTATATTTCACAAGTGACGAAGACAGAGTCAGGAAAAGGCAGGGCAGAAAGAGAGGGCGACCCCGCGGAGAAACCGTGCTCTAATGTTGCAAAGCGCCTCATTGAAAGTGTCTCGGGATATGCAAATTGTTGGTTTCAACAGACCTTTTATGGAGAACGTGTAAATTCTCCGAAGATCGATGCTGTCTCGAAACTGATCGCCACGATATACGGAGTTCGAATCGCTCGCAGGGATCGCCAAATTATTGTCTCGGTCATGATTGATGTCCACGTCGACGTGATGTGAAAAGGATAGAAGTACAAACTACAATATAAACCTGGCTTCCTAGTGAAACAAAATAAATCGTTAATAGCATCGCTTAGAGACAGTCACGTAACTATCGTAACTCATCGCTCGTATATATCCGTATAGTATATCCAGGACAAGTATATTTAATGCCTATCGGCTCGTCGTAAAGAACCTGCCTATATAATTTCGCTGATTACACGTCGTTTCACACAGGATCGGTCTAGTTTTTTTTTTCTTCATCAGCCTCACGCGCTTCTTTGTTTAGAATTTCAGTCAAGCTAGCCCTACATAATAAAAATGAGAAGAAATTGGCTGCGTCCAAGAATGCAAAGTGCTCCTTTTGTCCGTTTCTTCCGGGTGTTCGGCTCTCGCACACGTGTCCCGGACGCGCATACACACCCGGATACGTGGTACCAGATCCGGGTAATGCGTAAGTGCTGCGCATATGCAAGCAATCAGTTTTTTTAAGTGCGCTTTTATATACGCCTTTACGTACCTCGTACATGCTCCGAATGAAACAAATACAGGGTCTCTTTTCCGCATAAACGAGAATTACCGTTTCCTGGCATGTCTGCTTATGGGTATAAAATATTACATCCTTGCAGTGTTTTGGAATTAAAATGAGTGCATTTAAAATCCAGTTAGAACAAAGTCTAGACTTTCAGCCTTGGTAACAATTATTAATAATTGTGGATAATAATTTTGATTAGTCTGTAAGAATAAATAAATTTTATTCTATTTACAAAACAACATTATATTATTAATTATTAGTTATAATTTATAATCAATGTCCCCACAATGTTCAATGTTGAAAGTGCGAGTGGCGGTGTTTCGTTTTGCGCGGAATTATTCACTGCAGTTTAGCCACAAGATTGTTCACAGGAAATAATAATTTAAATGAGAAAAACGAAAGCAATGACGTGACACCTGTCCTTGCGCGGTTAGATTATCTTGCAATTATTACATAGAAGCTAATATACCTACCCACATGATCTCAGTTGTATTGAGTTCGTTGCAAGATAATCTCTGCTAGGATTTATCAGAGAGGTCATGAGCCGGCTCCATAGCCGTGACACCTGCGCTGAATGAAGCTTTTTCAGAGAGGCTTTGTGTAACAAAAACCAAAAGTAATCCTAAGAACATTTACAGTCAAATCGAAATATTGTTCATCATTGCATCATGCAAAGGTAATTCTTTAAAAATCGATAAAATGATAAACTGCAGGCGAAATTTGCGACTCAAAATTTCTTTTTCTGCCGCGCGACTTGTCTCCGCGCATACGACGTGTAGGCAGAGCTCGTGGATGCAGGTGCGTAAGAATTGTAAGAAGACGGCGGCGCCGGCGGCGCTGCATAATAATGATGCGATGCATAATGCGGCGGTTTTGGGGGTGGACCATACGTGGGTTTTGCCGTGGTGGTTGGATGTGACGATTGCGAGGAACCGGCCGACAGACTAGTGCTGGAGCTCGACGATGCGCCGGACAGATTTGCGCTGGAGGATGATGACGTGGATGACAGTTTCAGGAAAGCCCCGAGGACTTCCTGCAGCGGCGCGGCAAGTGCTTCGAGACCCGATGATGGAGCTCCCCTCTGCAACATAATCCCGATCGACAATTCTCAGACAAAAATTGCGAAATTACTATATTTTTGTGCACGAGCATAATAAAAATAAAATATGACATACTATTTGTTTATTTCAACTAAAGTCTTTCTTGAAATTGTTAAATAATTGCAATTATAATAGATAATTATCAATAATTATAAATTTATAATTTATAATCGTAAATCTAAAATTTTGCGCGTGTGTTTAAAAGAAAAATTGCTTACGGGTTTATCATAGCCGTAGGGATGATAATCGCCGTGAGATGTAGACGCGTGGTACGTGTCTCTGTTATATTGACCATATCCGTTGCTGGCATTTTGACCATATGGACCATATCTATTATAACCATAACCTTTTTTATGACCGCTCGAACCAGCGCTGGCACCAGCGAGCACGCCTGATACAACCGAGCTTACTAGAGATTTCACGTCCGATTCATCTGCCGAAGCGACGGATTCCTGAAATTTAGAAATAATAAGAGCGGGATCAGTTTTTCATATAAAATATAAAAAAAAATGCGGAAAAAGAAGAGATTAATCGAAATTAATAAGGTTGTTAAATAATCGTATAGAAGATATGTTCGTTTTATGACATACTTTACTTAGTTTTGCAGTGATACTGGCGATAAGACCCGACAATATTGATTGCCCATATGCTCCCTGCGGCTAAAATCAATCAACGCAAAATATTGATATAAATAGATAAGCAATAATGCAAAATCGCAATTGCGCACTATATTATATAAATATAAATATACACAGAAAGGCTTACAAAATATAAATTACCTTGCTTAAAGGCTCAGACGATGTTGCAGATGCCGATGCCGATCCTTGTGCGCCTTGAGGCTGAAAGTCAAATTGATACCTATCCATTTATATCTGTTTTTACATTCGTATGAAAATTAATTTCTCTCACTTTTCTGCAATTTTGTTCATAATTCTTTCTACAATTTTATTAAATAAAATTCTTACACCACTACTGGTACGACTTAGCGGACCGATCAGGGGGCCCGAAAGAGGTCCGATCAATGGTGCTATCAGCTGAATGATAGGTCCTAAAATAGCGCCAGAATCGCTGCCTTGTCCTTCTGGGCCCTGAAGACATTATTTCGACGTTCACAGAGAGCGGACTTTGGAAATTATTACTCGGTAAATTTACCTCACTGAGCTTCTGGGAGAGCGGCAATAGGACTGATGGAAGATCAACTCCATCCTCCTCTGGCTAGAAGACACAGAATAAATATTCTGTCATTATATAATTAAATATCTACGAATAATTTGGAGAGGACAGATGAGAGTGGTATTTTAATCTTACATCAGAGAGTCCTTCGAGAAGAGGAATTGCACCTTGAAGCACCTCCGCTATATCGACGTCGGATTCCGGCTAAAAAATGATCATAACCATAATTATAGCTCACTGTTTTTCACGCTGACTTCACCTCTAATGTTGTATTGCGATAGAATATTTTGTGCAAGAAACGCGAATATAGGAAATTTGCAAATGTCATAGTCCTACACGCTGTACAAGTTCGTCGATGTGTCATCTTACATCACTAAGTTCCTCGAGAATCGGTGCAGCTAACGGTAATAAATCGATAATAGCTTGTATAGATCCACCCTCTTCTTCCTCGTCATCTTCCTGCGATTCTGTTTGCGGCCCGTCATCATCATCGCCATTCCCCTCAGCCTCGTTTTCATTATCATCATTTTCGTTATCACCGTTTCCATTATCGCCGTTTCCATTATCGCCATTCCCATTATCGCCGTTCCCGTTATCGTCATTTTCATCATCGTCTTCCTACGTGACATTTCACGTTGTAATAATTATATAAAACGCCTGTTTTTATTATAATAAATAAAAATAAACTGCATACATCCAGTTGCTGTGCTTGAAACGTTTCATTACTTCTCCCACGATTAGGCGGCGTCTAAAATAAGCAATTTTAATTAAAGACGTTTTTGGCAAACGAATGTTATTACATCAATCATTTTGTAAGGTACAAATATTGTTTATAATGTCGTCTATTATGTCGGAAAAAAGTCACATTCATTAATTTAACGTTTCAATATTGCATCTTTATTGACGCGTAATCAGGATGCAATCGAGGCCGTTTCATTGAGATTTCGTCACTAAATTTAAGATAAATTGAGAAAGAGAGAATTTGTCATTGGTCCTCATTTGTATAATGGATCACTGACATTTTTATACATATTTATAAGCGTCTTCTCGCAGATTGGAAATATTGCGGTCAACGTATAGTAAATTGTGAATTTTAAATTTCACAATTTTATTTACAATTATCGCCGTTCTTCTCTATTTTTAATAGCGAACGCAATCGGCTGTAAATTCCTTTTACAGTTTTTTTTGTAACTTTTAATTGTTTTCATCTTTATATATCTTTTTCCGTATAACGCTATAAGAACAATTATCTGAGATGCATGTTAACGTAAAGGATAAAAATATTTAAAAGTACAAAAAATTTAAAAAATATATTTTACAAGAACATTTTAAAAACTGTATATAGTTTAGCCCTTAAATGTGGACGCAAAAAGCAAATACTTTTCATTTTCCCTTTTAAGAATCGTCTATTTCTTGCGCGTGACTTTCAAATATCATTTCGATCTCAATTTTTTATAGTGCTTTAGCAAGAATTGCGAATCGCATTGCGGCAATATATTTTTATAATTGTCTAATACTATTCTTTTGAATATAACGACATATATTTTTTTCGTTCCAAGCACAAAAGATTCATTTCTTTATTTCATAAAGCACTTTTTAGATCGTAACGTTCACCAACCTGAACATAAGTTATTTAAATTAATACATTTATGTGCATTTAAAATTACTGCTTATAATCTACTCACTTCGTCGAAGGCCACTTGTATCTTCTGCGAATTACCTTTCAAGATAGAAAGGACAGGTGTTGCGACGTTAATCTCAGTGCTATTTTTCGGCAGTTTCCGCAGAACACCCAACATTCTCAACAAATCCCCGAGTATGGACGATTGTCGCTTTACGGACGACTTCTGCTTCTTCGACGAAGTTTTCGACGTCTTTTTCTGGTTTTGCTTTTTCTGCCCTTGCGTGTTCTGCACCTTCTCGTTCCCTTTTTTCACCTTTCCCTTTGTTTTCGTTTCACTTGTATCTGCGGCGAAATCATTGAAGACGATTTGTCCGGATTCATTCGTATAATTGTTTTCAAAGTACGGCAGGAATTCGTTCGGAAAATCTCTGCTCGCGATGTAATCCTTCTGCTGTATCTTCGAGGTCACCGCAGCTAGCGGAAGTTCTTTAGTGACTGTAATCAATGCTTGGAACGGAAAAGTCAACAGAGGTTCACCTACATGCGACAGATTTATTCCATTTAACCCGTTATTCACGGTGAACGGCAGTGCCTGTTGAAGCTCGTTATTGTGGGCGTTGATGTGAAAATTCAAAGAATTGCTCGTAGTCTGAAATTTCGCCGGCTCCTCGAAGCTGGATACGTTCTTATCAATAGCGTTCTGATACGATTTAGGGATATCGATTTGCGGCAACGGAAGATACATGTTGGCAGGCGGCTGCAAGTAAGCTTCAAAATTCGCGAAGGGATCGATTTCATTTTGGAAGGGATTCCCAATGTTAAAGTCCACGTATTGTCCAAAATTATTCGGTCCATTGACATTCGAGGAAGAAAGACTAGATGGGTCCTGCGGATTGGACGCCGTCGTTTGCATCGCTCCCATGGGCAAAGGGTAAGCGACCACTTTTTCTTCCGCGTTTTGCACAGGAGGCTCCTTGAGTCTTCGCGCCGGATAATTCAGACCTGGTCGCTTCTCGTTCAGAGGTGCCTTCTTCATCGTCTCCTTCGATCTCGAGTCTGAATTGCTCGTAAAGGGAAATCGTTTCTCGACTGACGGCGAGTTTTTCGAAATCGACGCGAAATTTATCTTCGATGCCATCAAACCCGTTACGTACTTAGACCAAGCTATTAAGTCTTCTTTCGAAGCGATTTTGAGCGGCAGTTGGATCTCCAAGATCTTTGGCGAAGCCGAGAAGCCTTGATCGTTTTGCAGCGGCGAGTTTCTCGAGGATTTCAAAGGCGCCGAGGACACGAGGTTGAATATTACCAACATTAGAATGCAGTTTGAATGTGACAGTATTCTCGATAACATGAGGGGCATCTTGAAAATCGATATTTCTCCAAAGTTTGTTATTTCATTCGAAAGGCTTCAAAAGTTTAAGTACAATTAGCGGACGATTATAATATACCATGATTTTCGAGATAAAAGTTAACGTCACATTTTTTTTCTTATATTTCATACGTTGTTGACAAATTTTATCGATGTGTTTAATAAACTCGATAATATAAACAGCCTCGAGAGATAACGCGTTAAATTATACAAATAATAACAGCACACTTGTACTCTCGATTTCACATTTCACTCACTATCACGAGCAAGAGCTATCCTCTTCAAATAATAATGTAATCAATTTACATGTCGGATAAATTAAATATAGACAATTCGTTCGATTTTATTAAAAGAAACTGGACGCGTGCCGATCTCAGAAGAAAGAGCTGATGGAACACGAGGATCGTACTTGAAGAACTGGACAGTTGAATAGGAAAATGGTTGCTTTATAGGCTGGGCCTAATCAAAGGTCTGTTTTTTTCCCCTGGTCGCGGAAGCATGCACTTTTTTCCATGCACCATCGAGATATCGGGCTCCGCTAATCATATAGTACACCGGGCCCGGGGAGGCGGTCGCGCTCACTTCCGTCGTTGCGTTTCCACCCGACGAGGTCTTCCTCTCTCCGGCATTCGGATAATTATGCGCACCGATGGGCGAGTATGTAACGCGAAACGCACGTGATGACAGGCGAGAGTGACTTTCGTAAGGGACGGCGCGAGTGCCTCCTAATCTTGTGGCGAACACGTGGCAATTTTGTAATATTGTAAATGGCGAAATTACTTATTTTCTGGAGCTAGTATAGTGGATGGGAATTACGTTAGACGACGACATCGACGACGAGTGATCGCGCGTTCTGGACGTTGATCACCGCGCGATTAAGCGATATTGCGCGTAAGCCATCGTCGAAACGAGTTTACGAGTTCACCGTTTATGCGTCTTCCGGGTGTAGCAACCTTATCGATATCGAATCTTGTTTCCTAATACTTAGCTTCGTTAAGCCAATTGTTAAACTAGACGTAACCTCAGTCTAGTTATTTACTAATTTGTATCGTTAGCAATTGTGTATATCGTAATAAGAACTCGTTAAAACAGTTTTCGAAACATAACGGTTTCAGTCACGCCAAGATAACTCAATTCTTTCAAGAGAATTTAATTCTAAGATCCAGAGCTTGCCTCCGATTTCATGGGAAAGTCGCAGCTCTTCGTTTCGAATACATCTTTATACACGAAGTAAAATCGATTAAAAGTAAAACTGTAGCAGTAAAGTATTCACAGATTTATCTCGGTCACGACCGTGAACGTGATCTTGCGGTTCTAAGCGGTAACAATAATGAGAACGAGTCCCTGTAATGAGTGATGGCATCCCGTTTCTTGTGGGCACAAAGCAAGGACGTATTCACACCCGCTCACGCTAATGACAGCTCTCACGAGTGAGCCGAGTTGAAAGTGGCTGATTTAACTTAGGGCATGCAAAGTAGAAAGTCAGTAAAGACCCGAGTCAGAGGATTCTACTTTACGAGCTGTCTTCGGACAATTTATATTATGCAACTAACTACGAAATATATATATATATATATATATATATATTTATGTATATACATTAAAATATGAATATATATTGAATCCCCCAGAGTTTGAATAAACATATTATTTAAAAATCTGCCTCGACGTAATTCTTCAAGTATATTATTATT